TATGAAGCCAAATCCACAATGTAGTGATCAAAATTGCAGGAAACAGCAAGAAAATTATAAGGTAAAATTGGGGTTGTTCAGCCTGGAGAAGGGAAGGCTCTGGGGAGAACTACAGATGCTAAGAAACTAAGGATGCTGAAAGTATCCAGAGTCAGGCTGGAAGGGGCTCTGGACATCCTGGTCTGATGGCAGGTGTCACTGCCCACAGCAGGAGGTTGGAATCAGATGGTCTTCAAGGTTCTTCCAGCCCAAATCATTCTATGATTCTCAGCCTTTCTGGCAGTCATATTACTGAGTGTTAATGGACGTTTTAAAATTTGCAGGTATTCTGCCTTTTATGCCTAACAAAGTTCAAAACAGTGAACTGTGTACCTTAAAACAAGCACAAATACTAGATTTGATCTTCCTCGCTTGTTGAAAATTGAACTGCTATATATACCTTAAATTTTTATATCTTTTAAATTTTTTTCCTTCAGATAAAAGAAGCTGCACAACCAAAACAAGAAGAAATTGATCAGGAAGAAGAAATAGTGCATGAAGACAATGACTGGGGTAAGTCATCAGCTGATGACTAAGTGAAGCATGATACTGGGAACAGCATTTTAATTGTTTGTTGTGGATGAGGGAGCATGGACTTCTCATGCATCCCATTGTTTGTAACTTACACTGTATAATTGCTGCTGGTTTGTCACAGGTTTTGACAGTAATACTAAAACAATTTGATATAGTTTTATCATAATGAGCATGTTTTAGGTTCAAAAGCTTACAAATGTTTAAATAATATGCTTGGTTGTTCTTATCTGAAAGTTACATATCTGGAAGCATTTCATATATCGTAAAGGGAAATCATAGTATTGTTAATGAAGTTGTTGAAATTGAAGCTCTTTCTGCTTTAAATGTTTTTTCTATTCCAGAAAATTAGCTGCAGTTTTGTTCTTGCTATAATGTAGTGATTAAAGGACTCTCTTACCCTTTAATGGAGTTCTCTGTTCCTTTTAATGCAAAGGCATCGAATTGGTATCAGAAACTACAGAAGATGAACTGAAAGCTGCTTCTGGTCCAGTACCTGATCTTCCTGTTGGAATTACTGTAGCATATACTATCCCAAACAAGGTAATACATTTATTATTTACAATGACACTATTTTTTTTTAAAAAATAAATCTTATAGATTATATGTATAAAATTAGCTACTTTGGTTACCCTTCAAACGTTAAAATAAAGTATCATCTTAAACAAGTCCAGTAGAACTGAAGCTCAGTACATTCAGCTGGTGTCTTCTATGGTTCTGTGTTTTCATGACATATATTCCCTTAAATATGGATGCTAGTGTGAATGCAGTTTTGAAATGATAGAAGTGAATGTATTTCTTGGGGTGGGAAGGCAAATTTCTCAACTGCTCTTTTTGTGAGTGATATTTTTACCATCTTTGTCAAAGTGCAGTTGGTATGTTTGGGGAACACAGAATGTGTGTTTTGCAAGCAGAACTTTCAAACTTCAGTCAGAACAGAGTTTGCAAAGTGTGCTGAGTTGAGCCTTATCTTGTAATGGAGTGCTTGGTTCTGGGAAAGTGTGACGTATCTGCAGTAAAGCTTGTTTGTGGAGATGATTTAGTGTGCTTCTTCTGTTGCTGACCTTTTCTTCCTTTTACTACTAGGAAGAGAATCTGACAGCTGAGGAAACAGTGGCTGAGTCTGAAGAAAGCCTGGAAGATCTCATGGCCAAAATGCGGAACTTGTAGCAAAACAAATACTAAGGACAAGTATAGAAGTTTGGATTGACATCAGATTTCGAGTAGACTTCCCTCCACTGAAGCTTATCTTTACATATCTAATGAAATTGAACTGTTATACAGGGGGGAAGTAGACAGACTTATCCTTGTTTATATTTCATTGTCTTTTCATGGTTTTAACATACAGAGTTGCACTACTGTAAGTTTGAATTTTTCAGCGTTCTGGGGTCCAAATAATCAATGGAAAATTAAAAAAGATGAACTAATAAAAAAAAGTATGCATAGCACATGATATGCAATACCAGGTTATGAAAATATAGCATGGGACAAATGAAAGATGAAATCTGCTGACTGGAACAGATAGAATAGGTCAAGGGCAGCTGACAGTGCCCCACTCATTACTGCTTTTTCTATTCCTTGGACTTGAACTGGGTTGTTCACTGGACTCTGTTTAAAGTCCTGACATGAATTACGTTGTCTGTATTTTCAGTGAGTAAATGTAACATTTCAGCCTTTTCATCAGCCTTAAATATTCCTGGTATGGATATATATAGATATTTAACTTCTGTGTTTTTTTTCATTTTTTACTACTGCTTATTCATAATTAGCTGCCTGTATGTGATAATGCTTTGAGTATGAAGAGATGCAGGAGCTTTTATTAGCAGGTAATTAGGCTGGCAGGCTGCCATCACTTCAGCAGGTGGGTGCTTTCCATGGCAAAATCCATAAGATCAACAGTAACACTGGGATGCACAGGAGATTTTCTCCCTCTGAAAATCAAACTGTTTTAACTGGTTTCTAAACTATCCCCATCATATGGGCTATTTAATGTACTTAATGCTTGTATAGGAAGGCTTCTAAAATGAGATGCTCTAAAGGTTCAGTGTAGCAGATATCTAAGTTGAGTGGCTGAGCTATTGTATTTGTCCAGCACATAATGTTAAGGCAGAGGTATTTACTTTTAAATGATCCTGTGTTGAACTGACCTGTAAACATACACGTTACGTAGTGCCAGTACCTACAAACCTGGAAGTACCAATTTCAGGTATTTCAACTAGGGGTGTCTGATCCAGAACTTCACTACTACTTAGATTTGGCTTAGAAGAACATAAATTGGAGCATCTCCAGTAATAAAAATATTTCTAACTTCGGCTCTCCAAAAATATTTCTGCAGCACAGTGCAGTTAAAATACAATCTGCCAGTTTGCATTAGCAGCCACATCCGAGCAGCAGGTAAAAAGAGAGTAATATTTTGGAAGTGCTTCTGTCTCTTAGGGTAGCTTGTGTAAGAAGTTGTTTCTGATTTCAGAGGAATGATTGCGAGCTTCAAAATGTGTTCTCTCCCCAGTTAACATGAGGCTATATTATTTATACAAAAATCACATTGGAAGTTGTTTGTTTGTTTTCTGAGGGAGAGGTGCATTGTTTTGTAAAATGGAAGATGGTTTTAGATTGAGTTCAGTTTTGGAGAAAACGTTTTAAGAAATCAAGTGTAAAGAGGAAGGACAAATACGGAGATCATAAAAAAAGGTACATACCTGAATCAGTGTCACTGAGTCTGTGTTAGCATAGTCTACGTGTTAATTTGTGTCACATTCCTTTGTGAGATACTTTACCTTTCTCTTGGGAACAGTAAAAGTGAGGCACACACAACTCAGGAGATTGAGGAAAACGGTTCTCTCATTTCTACAAGTTCATTTAAACTGGACTCTTAGCTATTTGGCTGACAGGACTGCTGACACATGATTGACAGCTTTATGGGAGGTAACTGTTTACCACTGTCCTGCATATGTAGTTCTTTGAGCAAATTCGTACCTTTCTGTCTGTGCGCTTTCAAAGTGTGCAAATGCTTCTGTGTTACTTTCAGGTGGTCAGCAGCATATACTGGAACAATGGGAAAATATTTGGAGAAGACTGTTTAAATAGTTAACATTATTTAAAAGTAAACAGCATCAGGACAAAAACAAAAAGCAGCTTTAAGAATCTTTTTTCCAGTTAAAAAAGACATTTACAAGTATAATATATTCCAACCACAAAACCTAATGGAAAAATCTACTACTTCTTTTGCTATGAAATAACAAATTAAACATATTGCACCGTTCTAGTTTGGCTTTGTTTGTTGGCAGTCCTATAAACAAAGATCTCTGTTTTTACTGTGTGTCATGAACGTTACTGAAATGTTGATATTCTGTCCATGTGATTAAATCTCCACTGAAACTGAAGACTTTCTTTTCTGAGGTGGAACTCTCTATAAAACTATTAAATAAACTTCAAAATTTGGCTTATACTGGTCTATAGCTTGCTTAGGTTTGTTTATTTTTTCAGTGCAAAACTGTCTCAAGAATATTTTGACCGTAGCTACAAAGCTTATGGCCAACACAGTGCCTACAAGACTCTCCACTATTAATCATAGTCCCGTTACACTTTCTGTTAACATTTTTTCTTTGAGTTGATAAATGCTTACTATTTCTTCACTACCTTTGCTAACTGGACCATGGATGGTCAAGATCTGCTATTTCTGGGGCCTGACTTTTTTTCCTCCAAAAGCAGCTGTGTGACTGATGAAGAAACAGGGAGGGAAGTCACTCAAAGGAAGAACAGTAATAATTCAGAACTAGAAATCATTAAGTGAGGAAAGTTTGATTGGGCAGGGGAGGTTTACAAAGCAGTTTCCTATTTAACTAGAAGTGCTAAGGTAACTGAGAGCAAGTTATTTCACTTGCATATTAAAATCAGTTAATAGGTAGCTCAGACATTGTTAATTCATGCTATGAGCTTTAAGGAAGGGTATCAACACACCTTAGAACAGTAGGCAACAGAAACAAATACAAGTTGAGAAGGGTGGAGAGGAGATTTCTTTTTCTTTCTTACTTTGTAGCAATCCTGCAAACATGAGTCTCTAAGGTGGCTGGAATATAGAGGAAAAACTTCCTCTGATTAAAAAGCCTTTTTCTAAAGAGAAAAATGACCAGAGTGTTGTTACAAAGGATCAACCTTGTCTGAAATTCAAGAGCTACTTTTTAATACTTTTTCAACTAAGCCTTAACATACTGGCTTGCAAGTTTATTCATTGCATGCCAGTTTCATACACACTTCCTTTTGCCCAATATACCAAGCTATGAAAACCTTTCTAAAAGAGCAATCCCTTTTAACTCAATTCCAAACTGGGAAAAATTTACTCTGCAAGTGGAAAAATTAACATGCACTGAATAAAAACAGACTGGGAAATACTTCTGAGTGACTAAGAAATTAAAAGAAAATACAGCAGGTAGATTTAATTAGCATCTTTTTATTGGATGGCAAACTATTTTGTATCAGTAGCTTACACAAGCATTCTTGGATTGCAAAAGATTCAATGAGGTTAAAAAACCGGAAGTCTATTTAAAGGTTTAACAATAAGGCATCATATCACACTCCTTTTCATTCAGATTCCTCACTGAAGCGTTTTCACTGAACAACTAGAGTTGTTGAATCTGACAAGAGATTTACTTGTATACAGTGATACCTTCAGATACATTTTTTTCCCAAGGAAACCAATTATTTTTGAAGAAGTCTCTTGAATCTGAGTGTATAGCGACTGCTGCATCAGGGCCTGAGCCTCTGATTGACCACCTGAGGCAAGCACTGAGTCAGCCAAAGGAGCACAGGTGAAGGCAATTCAGTTGTGCTGCAGGAAGGGCTGGAGCCTGGCTGCACCTCTCCTAGACCTCATTTAAGGGCTGACTGCCAGCGGGGAAGGATCTCTTCTGGAGATCTGCTCCACTGGAGTTTCTCACGTGAGCCCAGGCTAAGGGTGAGTGTACCTATCATTTCTATTTCCTGCTTTGGTGTAACAACATGGTAACCAAGCTCTCTGTTATAGCATAGCATCTTATATTCATTAATTGTACACTAAGTTTGCTTAAAGATGAAATTACCTCGAAGGTAAAACAATATCGTGACTTTTTCAAAACTTCTATTGCTTTAGAATCAATTTTACAAGCTTCTGAAGAGGTCAAGAAGGTTGATGAAACAAAAATACATAAATGCACTAAGCCAGGCTGTTACAACACAGAAGAAAGAACTATCATATAAAATATATCCCATTGGTTCAGTTTATCTTGTTATAATCCTGGCACTTAGGCTAAGAGGTATTAAATCTATGATTTTGGCATTAACTATACCTTGAGCAAGTACCTTATACACATATCTGCATACAGCGGAAGAAACTCACTTTGTAGCACACAGTTCACAAAGTTAACGTGGAAGGATTTCAAGATTAAATGTGTTTTCCTGTTGTTCATGAAGACAGTCTTAAGTTCCAAAGTAGTAATTTAACCCAGGAAAAATAGGTTTTCTTAATAATTTTATGTAAAACAAAACAGCAATAGAAACTACCTTTTCTTTGAGCAGGTCTCTATCACCTTTGTCCAGGTTCCAGGAAAATGTTTGGTGACAATGCACTTTTTAAACTGAATGTGTCTCCACTTGATGAGTGTCGAGAAACTGCTTTTCCACCTATTAACAAAGTCTCTGCGTCCTTTATTTCCATGGCTCTCTTGTAAAGTTCAGCTGCCTTCTCAAAATCTCCCCCTTCATAGCTTTGGAGAAGAGTAAAACAAAGATGAAACAAACAGATAAAACTTGGCTCCCAGTTTGTTCACATTGAAATGCACACCATGCAATCAGCAAGTGTAATTAAGTCTCCCTACTTTCCTAATACACAAGTCCAGTGTATTTCTTTTTTATCTGCTACCCTTTACAGTAACATGATTTTACAGGGCTAAAGGCATATAATCTTACCTGAGCACAGCCAAGTTCTTCAGAGTTTCTCCCACGCGAGGATGCATGTGACCAAAGCTGTCTTCATAAATCTTTAATGCACGTTCATAAAGAGGTAAAGCTTCAGTCTGCTTTTTCTTTGGGTATTAGAAAGTTTTTTGTTATAAAAGTGTATTACTTTTGTTACTGCTTTTTTCCTTCCATAGTAGCAACATATCCTGGGTAGAAATTCATGCATATTCAACAACCAGTAAGGTGCTTTGTATTCTACTGCTGGTAGATGAGGGTGATAATTGAAAATGTTAAAGCCACAAGCTTTCACTTGCAAATGCCATTCCCACTGACCAGTTCCCAGTCAGGTATGGTCCTCCTAGGCAGTCTTGGAAATCTCAATATAGTTACCAAACGCTCTTTAATTTTGCTGAAGCAGCTTTAATCACAGATTAAAACTGATGTGCAGATTGCGAAAACAAAGAATACAAGAAACAGCTTGTTCCCATTGACACTAATTAAGGAATTCAGTAATAAGTTGATTGCGTTTCCTTTAAATCTCATATTAATTGTAGACTAAAGAAAAAAAATCAGCTGTAAAAGCTACACAGTGTCACAGCTGCTGCAGATGGGCACTCTTCATTCGTGGACACAGATTTCAAAAGATTATGTTACCCAGTGAGTCAGCAGCGGAGCTGTGCTTCATCATACCACAGTGACTGCCACTGCTAGAAATGCCATCTTCTGCTATTGTCCTATGAAGCATGTGGGCATTCTGAATAATCTACAGAGCATTAGCCGAACTGTCCTCATACAACACCACTCAGCAATTACTCATCCCCTGCATACACTTCCCTTGTCAAATATCCTTCCATTTTCTTTTTAAATGAAACCTAAGTATTTGTAGGTTCTATATAGTTCCCTTATAAATGCGATTACATTACTTTGGTATTAGGTGCATGTCGTTAAAAAAGCCCACGACAGGAATGCTAAGCACATCAGACATGACAAACTTACCATTTGACAATAAAGAACAGCCAGATTCACCAAAGCTGTTGCTACACTGGGGTGTTTGGGGCCAAACGACTTCTGTCGTATTTCAACAGCCAGTTCATACAGAGGAACAGCCTTGTCAAGCTTTCCCTACAAACAGTGCAGCAAAAAACAATTCAGTCGTCTCGTATCAAAATGATGAGGCTAAAAATCTATTTTCAACAAAAAGCTTGGACAAGTCTTACTGTTGCCAGAATAAGGGTTTAACTTTGGTCAATTCACAGTGATATTCCACACAGATTATTCTCTGTGAATAGTTATTAAGATTAATTTTCCAAAATACTGAGCATATTCAACTCCAGTTAATGTGTTTGCCAGCTATGTCTGCTGCTTCCTTTTTATTTCACTTTCTTCCACAAGAGTATAATTCAGAAGACTGCTAAAAAGAATTCTCAGTTGTACTTTTCTAAGTAATTTTCTCCATTTGCATTTCCTCATTCTGCCATAAATGAGAGCAGAGACCTTGTTCTTTGATCCAAAGTGCCTAAATTTTACTGACGAGATGGGAATGGGAATGTAGCTGCCTTCACTTAAGAGCAATTCTCAGTGCTGTTTGCACTGTCCTCTCTGGAACAGCTGTGGTGTTCAATGCTGTATCGACAACCCATCACTTCCCATTCACCACATTGAGACTTTGACTTCTAGGCCAATTTCCCTAAAATTCTCCTCTCATATTCTAATCACTATTAATGCAGATTATTTTTCCAGTAAATGTTTTCTTCCCAATTTAATTTACTCATATATTAACCAGATATACTTCAGAAGTATGCTCAGGTTTTTATTATTAGCATTCTTCTATTTAATAGCATTGACAAGTTGTATAATGGTTCACTGTAATTCCAAAATTCAAATCAAACTTCCTCTTTATTTTTTTCAAAACATCACTGTGCCATAGACTGAAGACAATCAATAACAATTCTGGAAAAAAAATATTATAAATAATTGTCATTTTTTATATCTGTGATACTTGTCCCTTTTCTTCTATCACTTTTCTGTGCCATTAATTCACCACAAATTTTAACTCATGCAACTTCAAATTAGCAAAGAGCTGTTGGATGCAAATATGAGCTTTTTCCAGTTTCTAGATGCATCAAAGTTAGAAGCTGAGGTGAGCAGAGAACATAAAATCCAAAACCATTTCACGCATTACAGTTGGAAATGATGAAACACAGAGAAGTAGAGATTTCTGTTAATGTTATTCCAGACAATGAATTTTGTGGGGAACGTAATTCTCATCTTTCACTGAATCAATATAAGCTTGAAGTGGCTTGGCCACACAGTTTGTTAAGTGCTCGCTCTCTCATGAGCCAGCCTTAAGTAAAGCACTGACTCCATCAGGAATCTTCAAGTTATTCTCACACTGTCTGTAAAGTTCAACGTTATTCTGTATTATCTAAAAACACGTTTTTTCCATCAAGACATGTCTCACTGAACTCTTGTATATGGACGTCGTGTACGAAACAGAACTCAAATACAGCTGGCAAGAGCTTCCCCCACTGCAACAAAAGCATTAGGTTTTAAGCAGATGAGAAGTTCTCCATTGTGGTGATGAATACTAGGCACTGTAAGACACTGAAGACGTTACTCACAAATAGCTTTCCTTTAAGCAAAGTGTGTCTTGAAATTGTTACTAGGCCTTTTGGAAACAAAGTCCCTCTGACATGCATCTTTTATACGTGTGTATGTGTATAAGCCCCACTGGTTTTGTATGGAAGACTGACACTGCAAGCCCTTACATTATTTAGGTGATGTGAAGAGGTAGCAGGATTGTTGCTTACCATCTTTTTGTACAGCACTGCCAAGTGTTTCACTGTGTAAGCCAAGGAGGGATGGTCTGGAGCCAGTGCTCTCCTCCTGATGTCCAAGGCTTTTTCATAGAGCTCCTCTGCCTTCTCGTAGTGCTTCTTCTCATTGTACAGGGCTGCCAGGTTGTTCAAAGACTGTGCGCAGTCGGGATGGCTGGGTCCCAGGACTCTTTCTCTCATTTCCAGGGAACGCTTCAGAAAAAGTTCAGCTGTCCTACAGGAAACATTTGCGGAGCAATATTTTAAAGCTGTTAATGTCTATACAGGCTGATGTGACTGAAACAGAATAAACTCAGTCTCAGAAACTGTAGAAACCATGTAAGCCAGCCCTAAGAATCAGAGATAATTTACATGTTTCAGGGCAGTACTGAAGTACCTCTGTGAAGAACTGAAAAACCAGTCTAGAAGACTTCAGCACACATTAAACTAATCCCATAGCTGCTTCATGATCAAGTGATCACATCTATTAATTATGATGAGCTAGATTCTTATAGTAGAATCTGTTTAAAAGTGACAACGTGGAAAAAAAACTTGATGCCACCATTGAAGCATTTTCCAATCAAAAGCATTCATCTCACTAAAATAGTGTGCTACTACTCTATTATGGATTTACAGCACTTCCTCTAACACAAATAATCAGTGATCCCTACGTAATACTGGCAGCATCCATTATAATTGGGTTTTTTGTCATCCTGACGTTCACACCAATTTTGTGTGACTCTGGTTCCCATTAGTGTAGTAAATCAGAAAAATCCATTTCACATTAGAAAGAGATTTATGTAGAACTGTACATACAAATTTGGAGCTCTAACACAGGTGTCAAAAGGTGTTCTCCCTTGCAAGGACCATGGGATGAAGTGTGATACATAGTGTGATACGTAGCAACTGCTACTGAAACACACCCTTCTGCCATTGATTTCACTCTAATTGTATCAAATTATCAAGAAATTCAATCTTGGACTCACAGATTCAGAAGATACACACCAGCCATTAAAATTACTT